GATCTACTGGAGTTTATTGAGGAAGGAAGTTAAATGATCAGATTTTGTCCTTTAGGAAGATCACTTTGGCAGAAGTATAGAGGATGCCTTACAGTAGAAAGAGTCTTAAAGCAAGGAATCCAATTGGTTCTTATCATCTAGAAAGGCTTCAAATGTGGGTTTACTCCACAATCATGTCAGAACCAGTTTAGTGAAGTTTGGAATAGCTTATAAACAGAAGGTTGGCCACTAAGCAATGAAATTTGGTCACAGGGTCTCATGAAGATTGAAAGATAGTGGGTGAACAGACTGTAATCAGTTTTGGTGGAGAGAATGCTAAAAGTTGATGAAACCATAAATTTTGAATTGTGGAGACGATAGACAGTCTATGGATATGTTAAATTAAAGATCACCAACTAAGCATTTCACATCACAAACTCATCATGTCCAAAACAGAACTCATTCTCTTTCCTTCCAAGCCTGACCATGTTCCCAGCTTCCCCACTGCTTTTGAGTATACTACCATTCTTACAATTTTCAAAACACACAAAATCGGAACACTTCACTTGCATTCACTCTGTATATCCAATCTGTTGCTATGTTTTGCCATTTTTATTTTCATAACATCTTATATATGTGATAGATGATATGCACATGTATCGTGGTTATATATAATATACATGCATGTGTACATGCACATGTGTTTACACTTTTGTTGTGTGTGTATATATATATACATATACATATATATATATATGTATATATAAATGTACGTATAGGTTATATATACATGGTGATGTTATTTATGGCATTCATTCTGATGATCTTTCCTGCTTTCTTCAATTTAACTCTGAATTTTTTAATAAGAAGCCAGAATCAGAACCAGGTCTTGTTTTAACTGACTGTTTAGATCATCTCCACCTTTGGCTCTAAAACAATCTGGTAATATCCGTGTGTAGAGTCACCTTTTGGATTGTTGAAAAAAGTGTTCACTATGACTAGTGAGTTATCTTGACAAAGCTCTAATAGTTTGCCCAGCCACATTTTGTACTCCAAGACCAAACTTGCCTGTTATTCTAATTATCTTTTAATTTCCTACTTTAGCATTCCCATCCCCTATGATGAATGTGACATATTTTTTAAAAATTTAATTTCTAGATGATCTAGTTCTTCATAGTACTGAGTAACTTTAGCCTTTTTGGCTTCAGTGGTTGGAGCATAGACTTGCATTGCTGAGATGTTGAACAGTTTGCCTTGGATTCGAACAGATATCATTCTGTCATATTTATTGAGTATGAGGGCTACTGCATTTCTTCTAAGGGATGCTTGTCCATGCATGTGTAGTATATGTAATGATCCTTGAATTAAGTTCACTAATTTCCTGTCCATCTGAGTTCACTGTCACCCAAGATGTCAATTTATATACATATATATATGTACATACATACATACACATATATATATATATACACACATACATGCATACATACATACACACACACACATATACTTACATACATACACATACAAGCACATCTATATCCATATGGCCCTTTCTTTCCTTTTTCACAGCCTTAAGGTACAGGCTCATCAACTAATGTATAGCAGTACTCTTCTGGTTGATCTTCCTGTCTGACACATAGTAAGTAAGAGTTTAATAAATGCTTGTTGACTGACAGGAAACTACTGCTTTAGTCCAGATAAGAGGTGATGATGATCTGAACTAGGGTAATGACTGTGAGCGGAGAGAAGGGTACAGACACGAGAGATGTTGTAGTAGAACCAGAAATCCTCGGTAGCTGATTGGATATTTGTGGTGAATGAAGCTTCTTTTAAGTTCCAACTAAAATTCTAAAGGAAGCCTTTCCCAACCCCTCTTAATTCCTTCTTTTAATTATTTCTTATTTATTCTGTATATTGTGCTGCATCTATCAGTTTGCATGTTGTCTCCCCCATTAGATTGTAAGCTCCTTGAGGTTAGGGACTGTCTTTTACCTATTTCTGTATCCCCAGTGCTTAGCACAGTGCCTGACACACAGTAGGTTCTTAATAAATATTTATTGATTGACATATATATGCATATATTTTATATCCCAAAATATATGTACATATTACATTGTGTCTAACATATTATATGCATATAATGTGTGTACATATAATATTTTAATATGTAAATGGTACATTTTATATTATAATTATTTCCATAGATAGTAGATAGTAAGGTCCATGAAGGTTAAAAACCATGCCTTATTTAATCTTTTTATCACCCCAGCACACAGAACAGTGTTCTGTATATTTCAAGGACTTAATACACGTTATTGAATTTAATTATAAAAATATATATAAATCAGCCTTTCACATCAAATGAGATAATATTTGTAAAGGGTTTAATACAAGTCCTATCCTATAATAAATGCTTATTCCCTCTGCCCACCCCTTCCAGAAACTGAAACTTGAATAGGACAAAAATTACTTTGGTGGAGGCAGAGCCAAGATGACAGAGTAAAAGCAGTGACTTGCTTGAGCTTTTCCCCAAATCCCTCCAAATACCTGTAAAAAATGACTCTAAATCAATTCTAAAGCAGCAGAACCCACAAAAAGACAGAATGAAACAAATTTCCAGCCCAAGACAACCTATATGGTTAATTGGAAATGTCTATCACTCCAGGCGGGGAGAAGTATGCAGTTCGGCATGGGTGCACAATCAAAATAGGCATCAATGAACCTGGAACAGGCCTCAGAGGACTGAATCACAGGCAGCTGTGGCAGTTTCCAGACTTCTCAACCCACAAATGCCAAAGACAGCTTAGGTCAGTAGGAAAAGTCTGTGACTGCGGTAACAGAGAAAATTAGTCCCCATGTGCAGCACCCGGGGTGGCAGCTGCTTCTAGAGCTTCTGGCCCACAGACTGAGGGGGAATCAAATGATTGATTACAGGGCTATGATAGCAAGGATGTCTTTGCTGGTGCAGGATTCTCTTGCTTTGCCTCTGCTTGGATCTGGGTCACGGTCCTGGGTGGTGGTCCTGGGGTGTGGAGGAGTGATGGCGTGGTGGAGCTTGTAGTGGCTGTGTAGAGGGAATCTTCTTCACAATTCCAAGACAGAAAAGAGTGCTTGTGGTCACTTATAGACCAGAGCACAGGCCAGGAAAGGAGGAAACACCTCATCCTTGATCATACCACCTTGGAAGAACTGAAAATTTACAGGTCCCTAGAAGTATCTCTGAAAACAGCTGCACAAATGGGGCAGCTAGGTGGCGCAGTGGATAAAGGACCGGCCCTGGATTCAGGAGGACCTTAGTTCAAATCCAGCCTCAGACACATAACACATACTAGCTGTGTGACCCTGGGCAAGTCACTTAACCCCATTGCCTAGCCAAAAGAAAAAAAAAACAAAAAACAAACAACAACAACAAAAAACCCAAAACAGCTGCACAAAACCCCTGAAGCCTGGGATAGTACATTCTCCACACTGGAAGGAGACCTCTACCTTAACAAAGAGTTTAAAAGTCAAGTAATGGGCTGGGATCATAAGCAAACTTCACAAAAAAGAAAAATCAGACCATAAAATCTTTCTTTGGTGATAAAGAAGATCAAAACATACAACCAGAAGAAGACAACAGAATCAAAGCTCTTACATCCAAAGCCTCCAAGAAAAATATGAATTGGTCTCAGGCCATGGAAGAGCTCAGAAAGGATTTGGAGAAGCAAGTAAGAGAAGTAGAGGAAAAACTGGGAAGAGAAATGAGAGTGATGCAAGAAAATCATGAAAACCGAGTCAACAGCTTGCTAAAGGAGACCCCCAAAAAAATACTGAAGAAAATAACACCTTAAAAAATAGCCTTGGGGGCAGCTAGATGGCGCAGTGGATAGAGCACCGGCCCTGAAGTCAGGAGGACCTGAGTTCAAATCCAGCCTCAGACCAAACACACTTACTAGCTGTGTGTCCCTGGGCAAGTCACTTAACCCCAATTTCTTAAAAAAGAAAAATTGCCTAACCCAAATGGCAAGAGATGTCAAAAAAGCCAATGAGGAGAAGAATACCTTAAAAAGCAAAATTGGCCAAGTAGAAAGGGAAGTCCAAAAGCTTACTGCAGAAAATACTCCCTTAAAAATTAGAATGGAGCAATTGGAAGCTAGTGACTTCATGAGAAATCAAGACACCATAAAACAAAAGCAAAAGAATGAAAAAATAGAAGACAATGTGAAATATCAATGTGAGATATAGAAATCTGTCCTGCCCTACAGGAAAATTGAAGGGCAAGGGGACAAGAGAATGGGGGGTAGAGATAGAAGGAGGGCAGATTAGGGAAAAGCATATTCGGAATGCATGCCATCTTGGGGTAGTGGGAGGGACGAGATGAGAAAATTTGGAACTCAAAATCTTGTGGAAGTGAACGTTAAAAATAATAAATATTTTGATAAATAAATAAATAAATGATGAATAATAAATAAAATAAATAAAAATAAATTTTAAAAAATAAATTAATTAATAAAGGAAGAAGAAAAATTACTTTGGTGGTTCCCTGACACCATAGAGACTGAATTCATTTCCTGAGTGAAAATCCATATTGATGACTCATCAGAGGGGAAATTAGATAAATCTGAAGGGGAAGAGTGACTGGATTGTGCCTCGGTGGAGAGATTTGGGGGAAAGGAATAAGAATTCCTGTGTATCTGTATTTCTTTCAGCTTTAGAGCATGGTCAGTTCTTCTTAGGCCGAGCTCCTTTGTCCTAGTTTATTCATGTATCCCCATGCGTTTTCTTATTGTTGAGCCTTGATAACAAATGCTTAAGGAATAACAATGAACATGGATATCTTTGGCTTCATTTTGATATTGTGCTTTCTTTGGTAACTTTGGAAGCTCTTATAGTGAACTCTGGCCCAGGAATGGGGATTTGGCACCTGCTTTTTTGGTTAAATGAACATTTGGAAGATAGAAGTAGTGTTTGAGCTCAGGATCATGTGCACTGAATTCTATACTCAGGCCTCAATAAAAGACTTTTCTTTCTTGCTTTAGAACCTACACAGGGACCACAAACAGTTTGTGAGCGCTGGAGGGAAAGTCTTCTGGAACACTATGGTAGCAGACCTCGGGAAGACCAATATATTCCACAGTGTGATGAGTTTGGCCATTTTAACCCTTTGCAGTGTCATGGAAACAGCAACTATTGTTGGTGTGTGGATAAGGATGGCAGAGAAGTTGAAGGAACTAGATCACAACCAGGAATCACTCCTGCATGTAAGAACTACCTTAGTATTCACCTATACAAATGCTTGGAAATATGAGGAAAAGTCATGATACTGATTAAACATTTCACTGAGTCCTAGACTATTTGTTCTCCAGGGAAAGTGCTTAAGATGGAGGGAGAAAAGGAAAGGAAAAATCAATAAATTTGATATAATGATTTATAATCTGGTCCACAGAATATTCAGGTAAACATTTGGGAGGCAGATTGACATGGGGAGTAAGGAATTATCCTCAGAGGCAGGAATACTTGCCTCTAGTAGATAATTGTGTGACTGAGCATGTATAAGTAAGTCCCTTAAACTCTCAATTTTCAAGACAACTCTCTAAAGGCTATAAGATGCAACACAATTCTGATTTGCATTGGCAGGGGAAATTTCATCACTGGGGATTCCCTATACCAATAAAATCACAAGCTGAAACCCTACTGTCCACCTCCACCCACCCCCATCCCCTACCAAGATAAAATAAGTTTTAAATCTTGGTCTCATTTTATGTTTTTGTAATTAGGACACTGGGATTTATGAAACCATGTGGTCCTTTCCATTACCATTACTGTCTTACTCTTCCTTTTGTCCAACGAAGTAGTTCAGTAGGAAAGAAATTTGCCCATCAAACTGGGCACCAACCCAAAGCTTATTTTTTTTAATTGTAAAATATCTTCCATCTTTGTTTTCCTTAGTATGAATAACAGGCACATTTCCAAAACTTATATTTTTTAAAACCCTCCTAGAAATCCAGATTTCATTTAAAAAGACATCTGGAATATGTCTGCTGGGTGGAGAGTCTTAGACTTTGGAGATTGTGATCTAAGGGAAACTTAATTTAACTAATCTTTCTTTTTCTTCTCTTTGTCTCTTCTTTCTTCCTACTATGGCAGGTATACCAAGCATTGCTCCTCCCACCATTCTGCCATCCCCACGTCCTAATGTTATACCACCATCTGTGGGTACATTCCTGCTCTATGCCCAGGGCCAGAAGATTGGCTACCTACCTCTCAATGGAACCAGGCTACAGAAAGAAACAGCCAAGACACTACTATCACTGCATGTAAAGTATATTCCTCAGGAGGGACTTTTCTACTAGCAGTTTCTCTACAGGCTTAAAGTCATCATATATTTTATTCTGTCATGGCCTCCTCATGCAGATGGCAATGAAGTATAGGTCTCCTCTCATCCATATATGGTAAACTGTTTCCAACATGTCTCACCCTTGTTTTACCAAAGATAATTCTTCAGAGATTGCAAGTGTGGAAAAAGGGGTTTTGTGGTTATTGAGTATGTCCCACTCAACATGCAGAAATCCAAATAGGAAATAGCAAAACCATAGCAAAGCCATGTAAATGAAAGTGGGATGCCATATTAAGGAATCTTGCTGCAAAGATATATGTAAATTTACATGACAGACTCACCACCCACTTATTTTTGCAACTTATTTGAAAAAACCCAAACCCAGGATCAATAGGATCACTGTAGCTATCACTTTTTCTGCTACTTTGTTTTATCATCTTCTCCACATCTCTAGTACTTAGGTATTCCCGGTCCTTTACTGGACAAGGAGTTTGTGTTTTTGCTAGGGATGTTTTCTGATTCTGGTTCTATTTGGGCTGAGCTTTGGTCCAGGGGCAGGGAGAGCAGGGATTAAGAGTGCAAATTCTGAGGGGCAGCTAGGTGGTGCAGTGGATAGAGCACCGGCCCTGAAGTCAGGAAGACTTGAGTTCAAATCCGGCCTCAGACCAAACACTTGACATTTACTAGCTGTGTGACCTTGGGCAAGTCACTTAACCCCAGTTGCCTAAAAGAAAAAAAAAGAAGGTGCAAATTCTAGCATCTTAACAAGATTTCTCTAAAGAAAATAAGTTGAGAACTAAGAAATTATTTGTATAAACAGAAAAATTCCACTTATTTTATTCAACTGCATTTAGTTGTTTGCATTTCTGGGAATATCCCTGACAGGATGAGAAAAGTGGGGAAAAGATTTTAACATGGGATTTGTAGGAACATCTTGAGAAATATGTACTTGAAGCATAACTTCCTTAGAAATCTTGAAATTATTACAAAAATAAGGCTTTAGTCTTGGAAAACATTCTCCTGGATGACCATCTGTATTTAGATTCCTTGGATAATTGGCATTTTAGAAATTGTATTTTTATGTAAAACTTCAATTGATCTCAAGGTCTCAATACAAATTCAGTCAGTCCTATAACTAACAAAGCCTGAACAGTTATTTTGTTGTTGTTGTTTACTCAATTCAGTCATGTCCGATGCTTTGTGACCTCATGGATGATACTCTCCATGGGGTTTTCTTGGCAAAGACACTAGAGTAGTTTTGCCATTGTCTTCTCCAGTGGATTAAAGTGAACAAAGGTTAAGTGACTTGCCCAGGGTCACACAGGTAGTAAGTGTCTGAAGGCAGATTTGAACTGAAGTCTTCCTAACTCCAAGCCCAGCACTTTATCCACTGAACAATCTCACAGCCTCCTAGGTGTAGTATCTAAGTTAAGTATCTAAGGCTAGATTTGAACTCAGGTTTTCCTGACTCCAGACAGCGTTTTATCTGCTTAGCCGTCTACCGGCCCAGTTATGTCCTATAATTATGTTTTAGAAAGAGTCAGTAAGCCAAGCCACATTTTTCTTGTACAAGTCTTCCATGGGCAGAACTTGTATTTGTTGTCATTCAGGCATTCAGTTGTGGCTGACTCTTTATGACCACATAGATGCCAGCCTTTTCTGTCCTCCAGTATAACTTGAAGTCTGTCCAAGTTCATGTTCATTGTTTCTAAGATCCCATCTATGCTTTTTCATCCTCTGCTGTCCCCTTTTCCCTTTGTCTTCAATCTTTCCAAACATCAGGGTCTTTTCCAATGAGTCCCATCTTCTCATTATGTGGCCAAAGTATTTAAGCTTCAGCTTTAGTATTTGACCTTCCTGTGAAAAATCTGAATTAATTTCTTTAATTATCAGTTGATTTGATCTCCTTGCTGTCCAAGGGATTCTTAAAAGTCTTCCCCAGCATCACAATTTAAAAATGTTTATTTTATGGTGCCCAGCTTTCCTTATAGTGCAACTCTTACATTGCTACTGGAAAAAACATATGACTATACAGACCTCTGTCAGTAAGGTGTTGTCTCTGCTTTTTTTTTTAATATTTTATTTTTTTTTCCAAACTACATATCAAAACAATTTTTTTTGTTTTATTTTTGTTTGTTTGTTTTTACAAGGCAATTGGGGTTAAGTGACTTGCCCAGGGTCACACAGCTAGTGTGTCAAGTATCTGGTCTGAGACCAAACTTGAACTCAGGTCCTCCTAACTCCAGGGCTGGTGCTGTATCCACTGTGCCACCTAGCTGCCTCCAAAACAATTTTTAGCATTCATTTTCACAAGATTTTGAGTTGCAAATTTTTCTACCTTCTCTCTTCCAAAAATTTGATATAGGTTATACATGTGCTATCATATAAAACATATTTCAATATTAGTCATAGTTGTGAGAGAAGAAATAGATCAAAAGAAAAAAAACACAATAAAGAATAAAGTAAGTGAAAAAAAGGTACTTCAATCTGCATTCAGAGTCCATTAGTTCTTTATCTGGATGTGGATAGCATTTTCCTTTGTGAGTCCTTTGTACTTGTTTTGGATCATTTTGTTGCTGAGAAGAGCTGAGTCATTCATAGTGGATCATCACATGATGTTGCTGTTACTGTGTACAATATTTTCCTAGTTCTGCACATTTCACTTTATATCAGTTTGTACAGGTCTTTCTGGGTTTTTCTGAAATCTGCACATTTATCATATCTTACTGCACAATAACATCCCATTACATTCATATACCACAGCTTTTTCAGCCATTTCTCAACTGATGGGCATCTTATAAATTTCTAATATTTTGATACCATGAAAAGGGCTGCTATAAATATTTTTGCACATATAGGCCTGTAATTTTCTTTCTCTGTTGTAGCTTTTCCTGGTTTAGATATCAGCACCATATTTGTGTCATAAAAGGAGTTTGGTATGACTCCTTTATGCCTATTTTTCTAAATTACGTAGTACTGGAAGTAGTTGTTTTAAAATATTTGGTGGAATTCCCTTGTGAACCCCTATGACCCTGGGGATTTTTTTTCTTAGGGAGGTCATTAATGACTTGTTCAATTTCTTTTTCTGAGATGTGGTAATTTAGGGATTTTATTTCCTGATCTGTTAACTTGAGTAATTAAAATTATTGTAAATGTTCATTGATTTTACTGATTGTCAGATTTATTGGAATATAATTGGGCAAAATATTTCCTAATGACACATTAATTTCTTCTTCATTGGTGGTGATTTCACCCTATTCATTTTTGATACTGAATATTTGGTTTTCTTCTTTCTTTTTTTTAATCAAATTAACCAATGGCTTTATCTATCTTACTGTGTTTTTTTTCCCACAAAACCAACTCCTAGATTTATTTATTAGCACAATAGTTTCTTTTTTTCTTTTCTTTTTCTTTCTTTCTTTCTTTTTTTTTTACTTTCAATCTTATTAATCTTGCCTTTGATTTTCAGGATTTCCAATTTGGTACTCAACTGGGGATTTTTAATTTGTCCTTTTTTTTTTTAAGTTGCATGCCTAGTTCACTGATCTATCCTTTTTCTATCTTGTTGCTATAAGAATTTAGAGAAAAATACATTTTCACTTAAGTGCTGCTTTGGCTGCATCCCATAAATTTTGGTATATTGTCTCATTGTGGTCATTCTCTTTAATGAAATTATTAATTGTTTCTATGATTTGTTCTTTTACCCACTTATTTTTTAGGATGAGATTATTTAGTTTCCAATTAATTTTTGATCTATCTTTCCACTGCCCTTTGTTGAATGTAATTTTTATTGCATTATGATTCAAAAAGAACACATTTAATATTTCTGTCTTCTACATTTGATTTTGAGAGTTTTATGCCCTAATGCATGGTCAGGTTTTGTGTAGGTGCCATGTGCTACTGAGAAAAGGCATATTCCTTTCTGTTCCCATTCAGTGCTTTTCAAAGATCTGTCATATCTAACTTTTCTAATATTCTATTTACTTCCTTAGTTTCTTTCTTTCTTTTTATTTTTTGGTTGAATTTATCTAGTTCTGAAAGGGTTAGTTTTGCTGTTTATTTCTTCCTGTAATTCACTTAACTTCTCTTTTAGGAATTTGGATGCTATACAACTTGGTGCATATATATTTAGTATTTCTGTTGCTTCATTTGTCTGTGGTACCTTTTAGCAAGATGTAGTTTCCTTCTTATCTCTTTTAATTAGATCTATTTTTGCTTTTACTTTATCTGAGATCAGGATTGCTACCCCTGCTTTTTTTTTTTTACTTCAGCTGAAGCATAATAGATTCAGCTCCAGACCCTAACCTTTATTATATGTGTCTATGTTTCAAGTGTGTTCCTTGTAAACAACATATTGTAAGATTCTGGGTTTTAATCCATTCTGCTGTCCACTTCTCTCTTATGGAAGAGTTCATCTGATTCGCAGTCACAGTTATGAACACTTACCTGTGTAATTCCCTATATCCTATTTTTCCTTCTGTTTGTCCTCTCTCCTTTTACCCTTTCCCTTCTCACTAGTGTTTTGTTTCTGTCTACCACCTCCCCCATCTGCCTACCCTTCTGTCAGTCCATCCCTTTACTTAATCTCCCCCCCCCACTTCCCTATTGGGTAAGATAGATTTCAATATGCAACTGATTGTGTATAGAATTCCCTCAGTTGAGCCAATACTTGAGAGTAAGGTTCAAGTAATGCCCACTGCTCACTCTCTCATTTTCCCCTCCATTGTAATAGGTCTTTCTCACTTTTTTTATCTCATTTTCTCACTTTTATATAGCACTATTGTGATATAATTTACCCCATTCCATGTGTCCCATCCTTCTGTACCCATTTTGCTCCACTTTCTCATCCTTTAATTTTTTTAATGTCATTCCTTCAAATTCACCTTATACCTGTATCCTCTATATACGTATATTCCTTCTAGCTGTACTATTAGAGATACAATTTTTGAGAATTACAAGTATCACCAAAATAAAGTCAAA